TGTACCTCAGCTGGATACATCGGTGTTGGAAGCCAGGGGGGGAGAAAAGAGCCAAACCCAGCAAACTTTGGCACATTTGTCCTTCACCGCTGGCACGGATGAGCCACGCTGTGAGGCTTCAGAGCATCGATAGACCCCCGGCGTTTTACTACCCAAAACTATGAGCTGCTACACGAGCCGAACCTTCAACGCTACCTCCTGGAAGGACAGTAAACATGACGACAAGTGCTTTTTCCACATTGTGAGCCTCCTCGTCCACTGACCAAATAGTTCTGATGTAGGTCCAGCCTAAGAGCGGTCCATTCAGGCGGGCGAGACACTATAAGGCCTAAAAGTTTCAATTTTCAAGATTGAATAAATAAGATTATATCAGCTTGAAGTACCAGGTTTTTGGGGAATGTATCCTGGCTGCAGTAGAGACGGAGCTGAGAGCTATTACTTAAAATAACTCAACACCAAGACCTCAGAAGGACCAGTAAGGAAATTACAAACACAGTCATGTCAGTCTATGGAAGCACCTCACACAAAGGTCCCCAAAGAGCTTTCTTTTTGTCAGCTTTTATAAAAATCCATTCCCTTTTCTTTTTTGATACCTAATTGAAAATTGAGCTTGAATCCTGCCAACGATTGCAATAAAATGCTGAATGCACTGAGCTGTTGGCACGTCCCCTGACCTGGCACTTTTACCTGAGTGCTGCTGAGTCTCTGTTGATTGTCTGCTTCTGGTTCATTAGGGTACGGTTGATGCTGACGCTCCCTAACAGTGACTCCTCGCTTGAGTGAGGGTCCTGTGAGCTCATGCACCCGACTAAGAGAGGAAACAGTCGAGGGGCATGGCGGTGTCACAATCGACACATCACTGGAGGCTTTTGAGAAGTTGTTGGCTCTTCCCATACTGGTCCGGTACCAGTGTTCAGCCATGCGGACAGAAAAACTAAGCAGAGGCAGGTCTGTTGAGAGCTTCAGCCAAGTTAAGCACGGAAATATTTCTTTCCTGTTAACTCAAGAGTCTGGCAGTCACCTGTGTGAGGTTGCCCTCTCTTATAGTCGCCACTGGCCATTCGGTTCACTCGTGTCAGACACGTTGAAAAAGGCCAACCTGGTGATGAAACATGAGCAGGTTTTTGAAATTGTACAGAGTTTAGCATTTTGACCCTGTGTTGCACTGCGTATCGTTGTGGAAAGTGTTCTGTTTGCAGGTTGTGTTGGCTCAAATAAATTCCCCTTTGTTGTTAAAGTGTAGAGTTACAATGAGTTCCTGAAGGCGCTGTCATGGAGGAGCCAGGTCTGCATTCAAACAGTGGATACATTTCTGTTTGGGCAAGGCTTGTGATTGTGTTTGGCGCACAGTAGCTCAATAGCACAAGCTCTACTTTGAATTGCAAATTGGAAATATTTATTTTTCTTCCACTTGGGGGCAGCAGAAACAAGCTGAAAAAAACATTAACGTCACCTTGTAATGTTTATCTGGGGAACTTGTCAGCTGACATTGGATTGTTTATTTTTCCAGTATGCATTTCTGGACACTTTCTGATGAATTGTGGTGCACTATTCACTCTATTTCTAACTGCTGTGGGAAATATCTGGCTCTTCAGCTGCTCAATGCTCTACTTTGCTAACTTTGATTTGTGTTGTTTGGTGTTAAACAGAAAGGTTTTTTGCACTATGACGGGTAACCCCAAAAAAAAGATGCGAAACACAAGTTTGATCCATTGTGAGTATTAAAATAATTGATGACATCCGCTTTAACTATCCACACAGGGTGAAGGATCTCCTGAAGTGAGAGGTGGATAATGTGTTTTAGTGCATTTGCAGAAGAGGCACTTTCTGTCAGTGCATTACTTTTTTAAGAGATGGATCGCCTACATTAAGTTTTCCCCCCAATGTTCCAACATGGCGTCCCAGTGGTGCCTCACTGTGGAGCCTTAACAGAGATTCCTCATTCACTACCTGAAAGTTCACACACAGTAATTTTTGCCTTAAGTTCAGTGAGGACATGAGCAAGAAAGGCTCTGTACTGTCTCAATGGCCAAATAAAACGGGAAAAGCCCAAATCATAATAGTAATGCAAATATATGGAGGAGTAGGCTACTTATGATACAAACAGGCAAGCGGCCAAATGGGCATCAACAAGGGCCAGAGAGGGAGTCTCATTTTTCCTTCTGACAGAAATGTCTACAACTAAGCTTGTGTCCTTTAGGTAGAGTTTGGATTGTCAACAGATGAAAATATACTGTGTGTGAGCACTACTGGATGGCTGTTTCGAGGCCAGGACACACAAATCTCAGCTCCTTTGATTTACACAGCTCCCACTTCCTGCATCCTACCCTCCCTTTTGTACAGGAAACTGCCCAGGATTTGATCTTAATTAGTTTGGCACTGCGTAATAACATATTCTGAGGATTAGAGATTGTTTTAATAGATTAGTGCAGGAAAACACACCTTTTCTTAGTTTTGGATGGCACAACAAAATACTTTGGTTATGTAAAAACTCTAAATGTAATGAAAATAAATTAAATATACAGCTGAGTGTTTAGTTATAATGTAAATCTGGACCATGCAACAGATGTGTGGCCATTAGATGATCATACGATGTGCTGAAATGTCATAACTAGGTATAACTAAGTACGTGTTTTGTTGTGTCAGTGGAATTGGATCAGACATCCTCTGGGTGGTAAAGGTTGACTTTTCCTAAGCTACTTCTGCGGTTGGCTCAATTGGGATTTAGAAATGTTTGAAATCCAAGATAAACTTTACTAAGGAGTCTGTGTTCAACATTTGTCTAAGTGATCAAGAAACACTTTTAGAACATGGATGTTTTAGTTTGAGATGTGCAGTCTTTTCCAAAAACTTACCATTTAACGGCTCAATCCAACTTCCTTTAAGCAACTGGACTTGAATTTCCCCGTAACTTGCTTTTTGTCTTTCCCCTGCCAGTTGTTTCATTTGTTCCCTAGATTTATTTTACAATCATCCGTCAAGAAATGTCGTTGATTATGCTGACCGGTCAACGTCAGGTAGAGCGGTTCCATTTAAAATGAACTCATTCTGAAAACGTGAATGTTGACGATTAAAGAGTGGGCTTTGATCATTTTTCAGAGGCCATGACTGTTATGCTTAAAGAGGCACTCTCTATGATTCTTGGCCCGTGCCTTATTTTCTGTATAAATTACATACAAAGAAAGCTTAAGAGGTGTTTCTCAAGGGCTCAACATTTTTTATGCTTACACTCCATTGGCAAATACACTATGGAAAAGCTGAACTATACTTGAAGTGCTGTATTTTAGTGTGGTTTGGAGCCGAGGTGGGGATCAATTGCTTGGTTTCTGCAGCAGCATCCCAGAAAGCCCCAGAGAGGCAGGTCTGAAGGACAGGTGGGGAGCCACACAGTGCCACCTCAAACCGCTGTCCCCACGGTGGGAAGGGGGGGCTCCACCGCAGAGTTAGAGGCCTGAGACAGGCAGGAGGTCAAACACTGCCATGTCTGTGTGCGAGTGTGTAGGGCTGCAACTTTAGAATATTTTCATTATTGAATCATCCGTCAATTATGTGCTTCTATTTATCATTTAATCTTTTATTACTGACTAAAGGTATAACGTTTTTCAAATATGTCAAAAAAAGGGACTGGAAGAAAGGGATTATTGTGCGTCTTCTGTTCTTTATTTTACTTTTACTTCTCGTACTGTAACATATGATTGTGTAGGTATCAAGATGCGCCCAGGACAAAGTTGAAAACATATGGTCATCGTGCGGATGCCATTGTGTCTCCTCAACTTTACTACTCTAAAACAAGAAAAAACGTTTTTGAAAAATCCAATAAAACTTGACCCATATTTCTTTTGAAAAGTGTGGCTCATGCTGCCCTCTTCTGTAAAGGGAGGCAAACTTCGTCTAAATAGCTCAACATTGATTCACTACCACATGATGTTATATTTAAAAAGATCCTTGGTTATTATTCATTAACTACTAAAACGTTCATCAGTCTCCTTGGGAATTTTTTCTAATCAACAACAACATTTACAAAACTTTAAGGGCTTTTCTTAAATCAATCTGTAACAGCAGAAATGAATGGATTGTATGCACAATCCAGTTTAAACAGTACAAAGTTACACATAACTGAGTGTAGGAGATGGATTTCAAAAGATTGGACAGGATTGACAGGACTGTTTAACAACACTGCATAACCCACACAAAATATATTTATATATATATATACATAAAATAATAGGAAAAATAATTTGGTAGAACTTTACCTGAAAGCAATTAATCAATTCACAACATATTTTGTCCATGAAATGACTTGGTATACCATGAAGTGATGCCTATTGCTTACATGATTTGAGGGGTAAGGCTTTTGATAATGTGTAAAACAGCAGTACATAATAACATTAATTGAAGGGGCTTGTAATTTGTTTATCTTACAACAGATAGTTGAACATAAACCAACACCTGTTGACTCTTAACACACCCACCCTCCCTACTACACAGTCAAAAGTATGACAAAATGTTTAAGAAGGGAAATAATAAAAGGTTAACAGTCATAATGGACAAAAAACTACACAAGGACTGTCGAAAAATGTTTTTATGATGTGAACAAGTGACTAGATGATGTGGAGTTTAAACACATTTGGTTGAAAATTGCAATTGTAATCTAAGAAATGCACTGAAACCAACTATATAACTCTTGCTACAAACATGCTACACAGGTGGAACTCCTGTTAGCAACCACTACAATCTAACCACTATTAGCATTGTTCTGTCGTCACTCAATGCTACTCAAATAAATAATGTAAATTCGTATTTTTCTACTTCTTAAAAACACTAACGCCAGTGAAGTCAAACACTAGTGTAAATAGCGTATGCGGGATTTAACCATGGATGTATAACGCCCATTGTAAACACACGGCCTGCTGCCGTTTCTTTGTGGCCTTCCCAATCATAGCCAGCCAACCAGAGCGCAGCTTACTGACACCTCTCGTCCAATAGCAGGGCTGGTTGTTGTTGGGGCCCTGTTGAGAACGCGGACAGACAGAGCACAAGTAGACCGGTTTCAAGCTAAGCTAATTCAATCAAATTTGCGCTTTTTTTGTTTTGATAGTTTGCATTTGTCCCGTTTGCGGCACATGCTCGGATCAGATTGAAAAATACCGAAGCTATCTGTTCCTACAACAGCCAGCAGGCTAACACTTAAACCCGGTATTTACTTTGTAAGCCGCTTCTGTGCTAGCGAGCTAAATTGGCGCCAGTCGGGTGTTTGACAACAGCGCGGTTCAGTCACGTTTCCCGGTGTTGTTGTTTGTAGCCGCTAAAGTGAACTGAGCTAGTTTCCGTTTAGGCGCAAACTGCAGAAAAGACAAAAGCGCACCACGATAGCTTAAAATAAAAAAGTTAAGTATGGCTGAATTCCTGGAAGATCCGTCGGTCCTCACGAAGGATAAGCTGAAGAATGAGCTCACAGCCAACAATGTGGCACTTCCCAGCGGAGAGCATAAGAAAGAGGTGTACGTGCAGCTGTATCTGAACAACCTAACGGTGCTCAACGATAAGAAGAGCCCGCCTGTAGACACCTTCTCCAGCGATGAAGAGTTGCCCACTCCCGTGGTGTCCAACAAAAGTCGATCTGGAAGAGTAGGTTTTATTTAATTGTTCTGTTAATTCACGTATTAACTGTGAAGTGGTGCTGAATGATGGGACACGTTTAAGTTATGAGTTGATGAATGATATGCAACTTAAATCTTTCTTGCAGAAAGCTACAAAAAAGACAGACAAGCCTCGCTCAGAGGAAGCAGAGGTGACAGATCTCACAGATGACGATTTAAAACAACAGCTGGCCAAACATGGTGTGGAAACAGGACCCATTGTTGGTGAGTTCATGGAGCCCTTTCTCAGTCTTTTGTGGAACAAAAACGATTCCAATATGGGATAAAGGATTAGGTTTTGGTTTTTTTTAAATACAAAGGCATGAAATAAGTAATATATTTATTATCATTATGTTTTTACCAATTTTGAAATCAAAGTAACATAGCAATTAATTTAAAGTAAACTTAAAATGAGTGCATCTAACTTTGTGTAGACGTGTTTTTAGTCTTAAATCCAGTTACAATCACTCATTTAAGTAAACGCTACATTCATATTTTCACCAACAGATTTTGACTTAAAGCTTTTTCAGACATTTGACCAGCTGTATTCCAAACACGGTTATTAGATCATGTTGAATAGTTTTTGTTTTAACCGTAGATTTTTAAGGCTAGGTATATCCTTGTATATAAAATGTGGGAAATGCTTGATTTTGCAACATTATCTGGTGTCTAATCTACATAATTGTTATGTAAACCATACTATCAGTGTTTATAAGAACAGCTGGCCAAATAAGTGACAACATGCATAGATATCTTTGGGCATAAAGACATTGTTTAAAGTTACATTTTCCACAATTGCATTTGTAGTTAATATTTAGATATGAGGAAAACTGCTTTGAGGCTCTTGGTTTTTAATTTGATTACCTGGAAAAATGCTTGAATTTTACTTTTAAAAAGCTGTACGAACACTTATGCAAGTTATCAGGCTTAATAACTCAATTGAACCAAATTACATAAAATCCATCAATGTATTGCATGTTATTCATCCTTTATTGTCCCCTCCTCCCCTTCATACAGCCACCACCCGTAAGCTGTATGAGAAGAAGCTGCAGAAGGTTTTGGAGCAGCCTCCAGCCGAGCCTGAAGCTCCTGCAGAGGTCACAGAGGTCACAGCTCTCCCCAAGGTGGACAGTAACCAGAACGGAAACACAAACTCTGACCACTACAGTGACAAGGAAGATGGTAAGCTGAGCTCTGACAAAGCTTAACTCATGTTTATTCACTTAAACGTTGTTTGTTTGTTTAAACATTACGTGTGTTTTCAGAGGAGATTGCTGAACCTGAGCCAGAGCCCGTTCCCGTGGTGGAGAAGGCTGTGAGGAGCCGAGGGAAAACTCCAGTTACGTCCAGAACCAGCAGCAGACGACTCGCTAAGGTGAGACATTTAACCATTTCCAATCTTAGAAATAGATATCCAGTTTCTCTTGGATTAAAATCACACTGTACATTTTACATGTATCTATTCAGTTTAATATTTAATATTCCATCTGTCACATACTTATGTATAATACCTTGCTTTATATCTTGTTATTGTTAATTTGTAAATTCAACATGTATATTTTCTACTTTCTTGTTTATTCTTGTCTTTACATTTTTATTGTACAATGCCATGTCTTTTTATGCTGCTGCAACGCAAACATTTCCCAAATGTGGATCAATTAAGTACTTCTTATCTTATCTCTCTCTTATATTGTTCGTTTGATTTAACACTGCCTTTCTAATGGCACTCACAGGTGGTGGTGGTGGAGGAAATTCTTACTGAGGAAACCCCGAAGAAGGCCAGCGAGAGTGTGGTGGAAGATATCCTCGCCAATGAAATAAGCACACCAACAGCCTTGAGGTAACGGACGTGAATCATTTACTGCAAAATATAAGCTGTTGAACATAAAAAATAGAATTGACAACATAAGTTTGGTTATTAAATAATATATTATTTTAAATCATGAATCAAGGTTCACTTAGTTTTTCCAAGAGCTTTCAATTCAATTTCACATCCTTACTTTGTACATTTTAAAAGGCATTTTTCATGGAGAAATGGCAGTTAATGCTTTTTTCAGCAACTCAAATATGAAGACTTGGTGCCTTGCTCTGCTTTTACTCATTAAACTGAGTATGTTTTGGTTTTGATTTCGCAAAACAAGACCTCAACTTGGACTTTTAGAAACAGGGATGGAAGTTTTCCCACAATTTTCTGACATTTTCATATACATTTTCTTTGGCGTATTATTTGATAACGAACCTAGTTCTTGGTCAGGGTGTCCGCGGGGTCTTAAAAAGTATTCAAAGTTGATCAATCAATTTAGCGAAAATGAAGGCTATTAAAAAGTGTTAAACGGCATTTTCCAAGGTATTACATTTTGTAGCTTGTTTTCAATAAGTATATAAATTGTCCAAAGAGGTTGTATTCTACAGTTTGCCTGAATGTAATCATTGCGTAGGTGTGTAGTGTGATTCTGTGTAGTTTTATTTATGGCATCCCGTTGGATTTGACGTCACCTGAACAGGACATCGCACGCTCACTGCTTGATAGCGTGCGAAGGTCCGTTAACGCCGGTTGTTAAACAACATCGTTATGGGGAAATGCACGTTTGCGTCCAAATGGTTGGAAGATAAGGAGGAAGGACAATCTATACTGTATATAGTCAATGTGAGGCCAATGTAACCGGTTAGAACTCGAAGTGGCGATGAGGTCTTAAAATGTATGGAAAGGGTCTTAAAAAAGTTCTTGAAAGGTATTACGTTTTACTTCAGGATTCCTGCACATACCCTGAATTAAAAGCTCCAGATGGTCTACTCTTGTGTCTCGCCTATAAGGCTGATTTTACTTTTTTCCCTGCTCAGTGCGACCTGCAGGCGTCCGATCCGAGGGGCAGCTGGGCGGCCATTGCAGCCCAGTGACTACTGGCTGGATGAGTCCCGTGTGAAGCGCAGCGTCCACTCTGAGACCCGCCCTTTCTCCGAGTCTTTCTCCAGAGGGGGCAGCTCCGTCTCTTCGAGCAAAGCTCCAGCCCAACCAGGCTTCCTCTCCATCTTGTTCAAGCTCCTGCTCCTTGTGGTGGTGGCTGCTTCTCTCTTCTATGTCTACCAGAACCTGGATGCAGATAACATCAACGCCCTCAAAGGTCTCCTGGACAGCGTCGTCGTCCCCCTTCAGGGCGCTGTGAAGAACGCAGCCCGCTACCTGGGCCTCGGCAGCAGCGGCGCCCCCAAGATCGCCGGCAAGTAAAGACGCAGTCTCTCACCCACCACCCCCCCCCCCCCCCCCCCCCCCCCCCCACCGCCACCTCCCTGCCACTTGCCACACACACACAGCACACGCAGTAAACTTGGCTCACCTTCTCTTTACCCACGTGTTTTTGGACAGAGGTTACAGATTGAATTGTAGCCATGAACTTTCTCCTCTCTGGACCGCAGCTTCCCTCACACCACAAGAGGATCACAGTAGCTTCTGGATAACACTGTTTTGTGGCAGTCAGAAGAGACTCATTTAATGTTGTTTTTAATCTGTGAATTCTTTGTGTCTTTGTGCGTATTTAACCCTTGTATGTAGAAGAGCAGGTGCAGGATGGAGAGGCCAGTTTATCCATGCATGGTTGTAGTCTATGAAGGTCATACTGTAGTTTCTAACTCTCTGTGCCAGGCTTTTTTCTGACTGTGAAGTGCCTGGACACTCTTAGCACGTCCCAGTTTAAGCACAAAGCAGTGCTACTCCTTAACCAGAATGTTTTTGTGTTTCCAGATGAATTTCAACACTTTATCTGTAGCTATACAGTTAGGTAGAGAGATTTTTTATTTCAATGGTGCTCAGGTCAATTCAGCTCAACGTTTTATTTTCATTTTGTATGTGGTCCTTGCTGGGAGGAGACTCAGAGTAATCAGGTTCCATCACTGCATGAGGAAAATCTGCCCAAGTCCAGGTTAAGATATACAAAGAGAAGTTATCAGTGGCTGAACACAGCTTTTATCATTGTAAATGGGGCTCTTTTTCATTATGAAAAAAAGTACTTTCTGATCGCTCCGTATTGTTATCATGATTATTTACTTTCATCACAACATTCGTATCAAGTTCTTAATGAAACGGTGTTTGATTATTGATCATGTAATACTTATTTGACATTTCTTCCTGAGGGAAACTGAAGTTGCTGTGTGTGATTTATGATTTGTGAATTTCCAGCCCTGCCAGTGTGCTGATTTGAGTTTACATGCTTTTGGTTTTAGTGCTTTGCTGTGCTTTCTTTCAGATCTTTTTTAGATTTCTGATCCTTCAGTCCTTTACGCAGGACTGGCTGTTGCCGTGCACCACATAGCCCACCTCACTCTGCATGTGTCAAATTATGGCAGATCTGCAGAGAAGACACATGGGACAGTAAATCAATTTACGCTCTTCAGACCTCTTTGACGACTTCTGCCAGAGCAAATACCCACGATGAAGAGACTGTATGTCACCTGCAGAGGGAGGAGGAGGGGGGGGGGGGGGTTTCACTGGAGGTGATGATGGGCGTGGAAAGATTTCCGGGGCATCTTTGTTTCTATTTTGATATTTTTCTAAAATGGCGTGTTGAATTTTTTTTATAGTACATTTTAAGGTAACATTTGAAAGCAATACGAAAAACATGAAAGTGATACTGAATTTTAATTTTGCTGACTTAACACGAGTGATTAATTATCAGGCAGCTCCCACAATGGACTGAAACAACTAGGGTTATGTGGTTAAGGATTTTTAATCATGTATTTATGATATTGTAAGCAGTGTATCATAAAATAAACGTGGCTGTTACCAGATATATTGTTCTTTGTGTTGTTTACCAGTGATTTAAAATGTGTATTGCAAAACATAAACAACGTTACTAAACATTTTCCAAAGCAATCCATACTTTCAGGTAATTTTTTTAATGTTATATTTTAAGTTTACACAAATGTCATGCTACAAATTAAATAGGGGTTATGTAGAAGATGTGTCTTAAAGTGAAAGTAACACATGCCATCTCAATTAAGTTTTAAATCCATGAATTGACCCTTTAGTGGCACAAACTCCCTATGAGTTATGCCGCTGAGAGGCTAAAATGTGCTCTTTGCTGTGACGCGTTCCATATAAGAGTCCGAAGTCATTCATAGTCCATAGTGTTTATGGGCTATGAATGATAAACAATGTACAACTGACACAAACAAACAATGTACAACTGACGGTCAACAGAAAGTATCAGAGCGCCATTCACCCTCTTCGTACACCCTATCCTCCAAACTGGCATCCAACAGGTGACCTAAAGACCAATAAACCACACCCATGTGACCATTGCCGGAAGTGATAAACAATTAAACGTTACATTAAATGTGATGCAAACAGAAATGAAAATAATAGAAGTAATAAGTAATGGCAAAACAAGCATTTTGGCTCCTACAGACCCTTTAAAAAAAAAAAAGCAGGAGAACAGGCATCGTCTTAAACTACTTTATTAATAATACTAATTAAAAGGCATTTAAGATGATTTACCGTAAGTAAGGTTTCAGATCACCTTTCCTTACTGTGCTATATTTTGTTCTATTCTTCTGACCTCCTTCCATTTAAGGATACGATGCGTGACAGCTTGACCGAGCAGATCTCCAGCCTGTACACCCTGTCTGGGGCCGAGAGGCAACGCCAACATTTAACGTATATGTTTATGGTGAATTTAAAGTGGAATTTTCCTAATCCAAACAACAGCTCTAATTGTTTAATCTCTTAGTTTCACACATTTCAGTTTTTCAGTGCACACTAGTGTCTTCAATCCAGTGATTCCTCCAGGTGCTGAGAGAAGAAGACCTGTTCCTTTTCTTAATGTGAATGTGACAGACCCCCATTGTCTCTCCATCGAATACTGATATGAACGTAGCCGTGAGACACTCCGCTGAGGCCTCCTTAGTAAAGTCCTCGATGCTTCAAGGTGACCTTAAACGACCTGGGTCATATAGCATGAATGTTTTTGAGCTAGTCTCTGCATTTATCTTTTGCACTATTAACTATAGCCTTTAAAAGACATACTTAGGTCCTTGGTTACCAAGTTGAGACCCAAATAAATATATGTTATTTGTATGTGTTCGCAGTTTCTGAGTGCAACACATTCAATCATCAACTTCAATTGCCTGAATGATTTTAAATGAGTCCTAAGGAACTTTTCATCTTCTGAGGTTAACAACATGACCGGATTGTCATCAAACACTAATAGCCATTATTTATTCAATGCAAGGTTTGACCACTACCTCAGTGTTGCTGCAGAGTTGATCAGGTGTTTGTTCTACAGTTTTCTCTGCAGTGGTTGTGCTCTAACTTTGATTCTCCCCCTGCTGGCTCAGTGGTGTCTGTGCTTCACTCAGAACTGCAGCCCGGCAGCCAGGGTCCTGGAGGCGCTCAGATTTAAGGGTAAAGAGTAAATGACTGAAACCTTTCATCCCTCCCTAAAATCCATCAGTTCTGGAGGAGATCTTTTTGTGTTTGTTTTTAGGTAAGAACACAATAAATGCACACTCAAGAGAACCTTTGAGTCCTGACATGTTAGTGCAAAAATAATAAGTGATGGCATTTGTCTTAAATTCCAAAGTTGTATGAAATGGGATAAATATTCCCAAAATATTTTCGTTTTTAATAATGTATTGTTTTACAATGCATGATTTAGAGGAATTGAATTACACACAAACACTTGAAAACTAGAAAAGTAATGGCATCCCTTTTTACATTTGATGTTTGAGGCTCCACTGTCTAGACTTTGTTTCGGTATTATTGACATGGATCCTAAATTTCTATATTTTGTTTCCCTGCAGTCCTTTTTATACAGATTGGCGGGGAGCCAGCGAATGAGGAACAATTGGCACATGCTTTCATTTGAAAAGAACAATGGGATTCATCTTTTTAAAACATTTCTGCTGTTAATAACACAGCATGAAAGTAGATTCTCTTAAGAACAAATGTAAGAACGGACTTAAGATAGTACTGGTGAATGCGGCCCAATCAGTATGAAAAAAATAAAGTTTGAAAATGCATAGAGATCCAAATGATGATCAATCTTTTAAAACATTATTTCTTCATTCTATTCAACAGGAAGTATGTGTTGTTTTTGGTGAGCGTTGTACCTAAGGTGACCCTTGGATCTCCAAACTGAGACTTTGTAGAGGATGGAGAGGCTTAGTCAATTAAATCCAGTTGGCTGCAGCCTGATCACAGAACAGGAAGGGGAACAGGCACAGAGTCCCGCATGCCAAGGGTGAGTCGAATTGAAGAAAGGACAAGGACTTGAACCCCAAGGAAGTGGACCCTCAAGACAAAACAGGTAAACAGCCGTGGGTTTCTTAAAAAAAATCAGCAGGACACATTTGAAGTGGATTTAGATGGATTTAGGTATGTTGTGTCTGACTGGGGGGAAAGTTATGATGTGTTATCTTTTCTTTATAAAGTGATAACAGGTACATTTTTAACGCCTCTTCCTGTTTTCCAGGCAGATTTTTTTATCTTTGTAGAATTGCAATGAAATCTATCCACTTTGTATGATTGGATCTACTTACTTTTGTCACTAGGTGTGTACGTTTCCAGTTTGATTGTTTATCTCCACCATCTGAACCATGCAGAAAAATGGGGGAAAGTGTACAAAAAATACGATGTTTTTGGTTGTTTATTCACAAAAAGATAATTATATCTCGTTAGCAGTTGTTTGGGAAATGCATCTTTCTTGTGAGTAATTGGCTTTAAATGTAGTTTATCTGGAACCCTTTTTACTCATCCAATAATTACCTATATAATAAGAAGGGCTGTTTTGACGAAATATTGCTGTCAAAGTTATATACCTGTATGTATTGTCCTTTTTACTATAGTGGTACTAAAATGCTCTGTTTTTGGATTACAGTTCTTAAAGTGCTGTCTGCACCGCGCTGTCTGAGTTCAAGTTTACTTAGGGCACTTAACGTTCTAAGTCACATTTAAACAATCGACAGCTGTCTTGCAAATTCTCTGATGATACTTTGGCTCCTCGATCATTAAGGTACCAACAATGTTTTTACTTTGCCTAATTAAAGGTAATGACACATTCTGCCCCTTTGGTGAACTTCCAGGCTTAAGCCACTTTATTACCTCCTCATGTTTACATGTTTACATGTTTTCAGTCCACAGCGCTTTCTCCTGCTAATCCAGTTTCACTCATGGCTAATTAATGGACACGGCACCTTTAATGGGACTCGTATTCTTTCTCAGAGATGTCAAATAGTTAGAATGAGAGATGGCACATTGCTTCATCACACACACCAAAGTGCCACGAGTGACACACAGCAGCAGAGCCCAGGACAGATGAGTCAGAGCAGCACTCCCCCTCCATCACACACTGACAGCTACAGCTAAATCTGACGGGATTAACAGATGTCCTAACAGATTTCAACCTGTTCTTATTAAACAGTCGCAATATAGCTGTATAAGAGAACATGCACTATACTCCACTTAATTAACATCATTTGTTAAGTACTTCATACACTGTATTTTAAGAAAGTCTTTTGTTATTGTTCTGTATAGACATCCTATTAGAGACAAGTTGCTCATCTATAGTTCAGGTGCAGCAGATGGAGGCAGCGTTAACGGATTACAGTAACTCCTTTAACTGTCTGCAGTCTGCCAGTGAAGTTCAACATGAGATTATAGTGCCTAGTCTTCCATTTGGGGAGTAGGGGGAGGAGAGGAGGGAGGGAGAGGAGTTGGCCCTGAGTCACATGGGCTCTGCTACGCTGCAGCTGACTGGGCTGCACACAGGGAGTGTGGGGGGTGTTGTGGATTCAGACAGTAACACACCTTCAGGTGTCCTGTCACTCTGCCATGCTGATTACTTGCTGGTATTTATACATCTCAGCTCGGAGCATCGCCAAACAATGCAAGTATTGCTGCTGTTTTTGTTACTCAGGCTGCTTGTCATTTCGAGGTGAACTTTGCAGAAAGGTGTAAAGGAAATGTGTTTTATTTTTATTGTGAGATGACAGCGAAGTCATGCTTCTATTAGAGCTACTTAGATCAATGTCATGCCTCTACACTCGAGTCATCCTGATTCTAAATGCAGTATTTATGAAATTAGAGCACGCAGCCTGCTTTCTGGATGCAGGACTGTTCTCCTTACTTGTGTCGCTCCTCTGCAGTCCATTCTGCTCTCCCCTTCTATTATTTTACTCTCCGCAGATCTGAACATGGCCTCAATTCTGCAGAAGCTCCTCACCCCTCTGTCCAGCGGGCCTCCTGAGCTCCCCAGGAATAAAGTGACGGTGGTGGGAGTGGGCCAGGTGGGCATGGCCTGTGCTGTCAGCATCCTGCTCAGGGTAAGAGTGTCATCTGTGTAAAGGTATCAAAGAAGCATATGCTGCAGCCTTATAGGAGAACAGGAGAACTTTTTCATTGATGAATGAGTTTACTGTGAGCTGTTGTTCTGAGTTTCCTGGTGTGTTGGTGTGTGTAGGAGCTGACGGATGAACTGGCGCTGGTGGATGTGATGGAGGACAAGCTGAAAGGAGAGATGATGGACCTGCAGCACGGCAGCCTGTTCCTCAAAACCCCCAAAATAGTCGCGGACACAGGCGAGTTTACCCTATGAATTATTTATGAACAAACCCCTCCTTCCTTCCTTCAGAATATAGACACAACTGGAAATGTTACTGTATATAAATACTACTAAAGTGGGGATTTATGACTTTCTCTTTATTAATTGTTTACAATAAGACAATTATTTGTAATACTTTTTCAGAAAACATTTGTCTAAAGATGCAACTGAGGCATTATTTATTGCTAACGTTTGGTGAATTCATTAGAAAAACTCTCAAAATTGACAAGTGCATGAACAAAAATCTATATTTTTGCCTATTAATCTATACATGAAGACACTTAACCATTAAGACGTATGTATTCCTCCTCTCTCCCAGATTACTCTGTGACGGCAAACTCCCGCATCGTGGTGGTGACGGCTGGGGTCCGTCAGCAGGAGGGGGAGAGCCGGCTGAACCTCGTCCAGAGAAACGTCAACATCTTCAAACACATCGTCCCTCTGATCGTCAAATACAGCCCCAACTGCATCATCATCGTGGTTTCCAACCCAGGTGCTGCCAAACACACATTTGACATCCTGCGTTTCCTCTCTCACACAGCAGAGACACAGTGTTCAGACTCTGATAACGCTGACTCTCTTCAACAGTTGATGTGCTGACCTATGTGACCTGGAAGCTGAGTGGCCTTCCTAAGCACCGAGTCATCGGCAGCGGCACGAACTTGGACTCGGCTCGCTTCCGCTTCCTGATGGCGGAAAAACTGGGGATCCATCCCAGCAGCTTCAACGGCTGGATCCTGGGAGAGCACGGAGACACCAGTGGTGAGGAGGCAGGGGATTCGTGATTGGTCAGAATACTTTGATGTCATTGAGAAACATTGAAAGTTAATATGGTTTAGAAATGTCCATTTGTGTTTAATTTGTTAAGTTTAATTAGCTTACAGAGTGTTAGCCAGGGTCTTCTTAGTTTTCGGACATGTATATTGTTTTATGTTTTGAGTTATTTTTCTGTGGGGCCAGGTATGTCTCAGAAGTATGTAGCTACTCATACTGTACATACAAAATACATGGTGAGAGAGCTGTGTATGAACAGCAGTAGTGTTCAAATATTTTAAATTGGGATTTCATTTGAGTACCACCCTCTGAATAGCTTGGTTAAATAATCTCCAATAAAATGTTGGACATTTCTGATTTCACACAACTAGACTTTAAGTGAAAAACACTGGGGATAAACTGTGAAGTTATTGCCTCATAATGTCATCTCCTGGAATATCTCGTCCATTCAGTTTTTGACCAAAATTCATGTCGTCTCCTTTTTTCATAGTAGAGAATTATTATAAGTCAGAAACAATTTAATTTACAATCATGCTGATTTTGCTTTTATTCCTATTCTAACTAGACAATATCCTTTCGGTTGAGTTGAAGTTTTTCTCAAAGGATTCTTTTTCATTTTACGATAATAACAGACTGTGGCTGTGTGAAGCGTGTGGATGGAGGTTGACGGTTTTGTGTGTTTCAGTTCCTGTGTGGAGTGGAACCAACGTGGCCGGAGTAAACCTGCAGACGTTAAACCCGGAGATCGGCACAGAGAATGACGAGGAGAACTGGACGGAAACACACAAGATGGTGGTGGACAGGTCAGTTCACTTGTGTATATTAACTTACGTGGTGGTTTTTGTTTTAAGTATAAGTAGTAGTCGTTAAAAAATAGGACAGTGACAACACCTTAAAGTAAAAGATATTAAAGAGTTAATTATGCATTCAGCACTATCTCTCCCTTGATCTCTTTTTCATCAGGTTAGAGGACTTAGCCGTCCTGAGGGAAATCTGCTTCTTGTGTTTCATCAGCTTATTTTTTAGCACTTCTGGTCTGCTTCATCACCATTAAAAAAACAATTAACTATCATAAATCCAATCTTTAAGCAGTCTGAAAACTCAGCCCCACCTTTCCTGTGTCTGTGTCCTGTGCCCCTCAGCGCCTACGAGGTGATCCGACTGAAGGGTTACACCAACTGGGCCATCGGTCTGAGTGTGGCCGACCTGACGGAGAGCCTCATCAGGAACATGAACCGGATCCACCCGGTCTCCACCATGGTGCAGGTAACGGCGCTCACACACATTCAACTTCCCTGTGTAGCAGCGTCTATATTGCGTTATAGTATTTCAATAGTACCTTTTAGAGCATAAATGTAATATACTTACTATATAACTTAACTATATACTATAACTTTGTTATTGATTTCTTCGTGATCATATCGATGTGTTGAAGTCTAAAGTTCGACTTCTTAAGCAAAATCTGAAGCTGATTAAAATAAAATTGTGATTACCTCCTTTTTAAAAAGTAAATTAAATAGTTTTTTACAATTTCAAGCTCAATTGTCTGAAATCAAGTTCACCGTACCCACAGTCAGCTCCATTGAAATTGATATATATGGCAGACATCAATAAATATATAGTTAATTCAGGTGTGAAGAAACAAATTCAATAATAATCATTTTAGTTTCGTTTTGCATTCATCCTCTGCTTGTAGCTTCCTTTGTAGCTTCCTTTATGCCAAGAGAGCATGATGAGGGAGAAATGTTCACTGTTTTGTTTGACTTATTATGTCAAAATCTTTCCATAATGTGTACATGAATACACAATATAGCAGACGGTGAACATGTGTGTCCTCTGTAATATATAACAAAGCTTTACTGAATATGGGTTCATTTAAGTGCATCTCCCTGGGGAAATATCTAGAAAATCTATTTTCTGTCTCCTATAAGTTCTTTAAAAGCTGGATGGATGAACCCCCCCTTATTTAAATATGAGCTCATGATTTTACATTGTTGTATCCTCTCTCTGTGACTTTGGGCAGACAGACAGTGACGTTGTGTTTTCTTGTCTGCAGGGCATGTATGGCATCAGTGACGCTGTGTATCTGAGTCTGCCCTGCGTGCTGAACGGCGGGGGCGTGGCCAGCGTTGTCAACATGACCCTGACGGAGGACGAGGTGTCCCAGCTGCAGGAGAGTGCCAGCACCCTGTGGGACATCCAGAAGGACCTGCAGGACGTCTAGCTGCACAGCAGGGGGCGACGTAGCTGAGCCCTCCTGTTGTGTTATCACTCTGCATTCACGAGCACAGCTCCACCTTCAAAACACCGCCCTCTGTCGACTCACAGGGAGTTTAATCCCGTCAGATTTAGCTGTAGCTGTCAGTGTGTGATGGAGGAAGTGCTGCTCTGACTCATTTGTCCTCGGCTGTACTGCTGTGTGTCACTCGTGGTGCTTTGGTGTGTGAAAGAGCAAGTTTGTGGTCACTTTAACAGCAAACTGCATGGGTTCAGTTATTCAATAGTGAAGGGAAAACAAAAAGGCTTATGTAAAAGGGTCAAATTTATAATCCTATAACGCTGTGCACATATAACACAAAGCTCCTGAAGGGATTTCACTGAATCACTGCCCAATAATTATTATTTGGATGTATTATCACAGACAGAAATGCTATGCGTCTTTATTTGTATAAACGAGAACAAGAACATTTGGATAATAATATCAGTCATCTTGCTAGCAAGGTAACAACAGCTGTAAAACAGAGTAATGGAAGATCTATGAAAGATTATGGTGCAACTATCTCTGCAGTTATATAGTACATATATAATATCTCTGTACGTCTTTGAATAACTTTAAGGATAGACATGTGCATAATGTCAGCAGGGGAAAGGTGACATTGATCAAATATAGAGACGACACTGGATGGATTATGTGTTTAATGATGGGGTTTTCTTGCACAGATTGTTATGCACACGATGCAAAATAAGGTTGATCTGATATTTCCTCCCACATTTATCAGCTCTGACATGTCTGGTTATGTTCATTATATACAAATAAAATGAAGCTGTTTAAAAAAATTATCTTTTTGTCTTTTTAATGAAAGCCGGGTTCATTCCTGTGTGTCCTGCAGTCAGTTCAGGGATCATGTGGTAAACATCTAGGAGCCATATGCAAATTAAGTTTTATTCAAAAAGATATCAGTCTAAAAAACAGAATAAAACCCTTCTCAGTTTGTGACCTTTGTTTGACTTCAGACGGCCATTTACAATAAACCTAATTGTGCCCCCTCTCTCAGAAGGTGTGATGATGTTTATCGTGGTGTGAGTCTCCTGTGGAGTGTGAATTCATTAGTTGTTGCCCCAAGCTGACACAAATCTGTTTTATAATCAATGGAAAGTGTGTGTGCCTGTAAAAGAGATCCCCTCCATGCGAAACACACACACCTCACAGACAAGGCAAGGGAATTGTATTTATTTCACACGTTGAACTACAAGTGAACTCAAACAGTAGTAACACACAGAACATCCTAATAAAAACTACAAAGTGCAGCAACAAGACAGTAAAATGGAAAATAGTTTTCACAAGTCATTTAGATTCAGCTGTTGTTCATTTGGGTAATTATCTGGATTGCCTGCAGCTGAGGAAGACAAAGAAACACACAAATATAACTTTAAATTGCTCAGATTAAGTGAAGTGATATCTGTCAGGGTTTTACCTTCGTCCACAGCTCGCAGCAGAAGCTCCAGAAACAAGGAGGACAAATTCAAACCCGGTCCATCTCTGTGAGTCACTGCAGGGACAACAGAACCAGATATTTAAGTTAAGAAAAACATGCCCTAGAAAGGAAGATTTTACAAACATACATAGAATCAGCTTTATACTCCCTTATATAAGAATATTACCGTTAAGTCAGAGTATCAAACTGATACATGTGTGTTTTTAGGCACCACTTTCTGGCAAAGTATTATGAATAAAACCTATGTCTACCTATGCTGTAAAATGTATTATCTCTTTGATTTACACACGGCATCTATTGCACGTCTGTCCATCCTGGGAGAGGGATCCCTCCTCTGTTGCTCTCCCTGAGGTTTCTCCCATTTTTCCCTTTAAACTGTGGGTTTTTCTCCGGAGGTTTTTCCTTGTACGATGTGAGGGTCTAAAAGGACAGAGGGTGTCGTTTTCTCATACTGATATTCTGCACAAACTGTGCTGTTGTATTTGCTGTAAAGTGTCTTTACTGTAGGGTATTTTTATTATATGTACAGCACTTTGGCTTGACCAAAAATCGTTTAAAAATGTGCTATATAAATAAAACTTGATTTGATTTGAAAACATGTGGAAGTCCATTTAATAATGGCTCTATTAATTGTTATCAAATCATCTTCAAATACCAATGAGACCAGTTACAGTATTACCCATTAATAGGAGCACATTTTGTGTATCCAGGTTATTAATATATATGTTATTAGCTGCACGCTCACCTGAGTGTAAGGTGTCTCCTTCCTCTCTGCTGGGGCGCTGCAGAACTGAGCGATGTCCTTCTGTAAAACATCAACATCAAACAATGGTTCCTCCTAATTTGAGTCTCAGATAATTGTACAGTTATTCATTCTTACGTGCTCCCGTTAGGTATAAGATGGCCTGAGGAGTCCAGTTTCTCTGCTGCATTTTGATGTAGAAAATGTTTCGTCATAATTATATTCCTTAATATGTTTTTGTCTTTTCAATTTCAGCTTGAATATGAAAGAGAAGGAAATGACTTTGACCCACCTGTGGGGAAGTCCAACACTGAGCAGCCAAAGTCACCACCAGCAGCGTGACAATTAGAGACATGGTAGGACTCTGTAATGACAGAATTACAAATGATAGAATTACTTGAACAGAGGGAAACAACCACATCACCGTTATTACAATATAATGAAGTTATAAGCAGATAACAGGAGGGTGTTTATTAGTGTACAAAATGTGTTAACGTACATTTCTCCTTTAAAGATATATTTAATATTCAAGATGAAGGTATCTTTAAGAGTATTTTACAATATTGTCAGTCATTATATGTTTAAACACAAAATAAATTATAATGGTTACATTCATTAACTATTGTCTTTTAAAATCCAGAGTACATAGTGGTATAAACAGTTTATTATATGCTTATACAAATAAAGGGGCATAAATTCAAGTGTGTAAACTGACTAATGTTCTTACATTTTCTCACAAAAAAGTACAATTATATTTTTTAACTTTAAGATTACAATACAAATCTTTATAAAAAGAACATAAAAGTTATTTTAAATAAAAAGAAAATCTGTTAAATTATAAAATATTAAAATAATAAAACTGTATTATTTAGTATAAGACATAAACAGCAGGAATTGATTATGTAAAAACACTTTTTTTTAAATAACTAAAATGACATTACATTAACAATAATCATACTTATAATACAATAATGATGATAAAATAAGAATAGGCTTACCTTTAATGATTTTCTGGGAAATGGATTGTGTTGTGCTCTCCTGCAGGGTGTGGGATTTCTGCTTCCTCTATCACTTCTGTTACGTTATAAAAACCAAGCGCCTCATTAATATGCAGCGTCACCAATGAGGCTAATTGGTCTCATTACGTCTCACATGACTTTTCCATTGACGAGTGACAGGTGATGAAACTGTCGCTGGTCGTTAATCACAAACACCGGAGATGGAAACTTTTTAAGACTCCCTCGAGCAGCGCAGGGTCCTCCCGGGGTCACGACATGATGACGACACTGATCAGATCTTTATGAAGGAGTGCTGAAGTGATGACAGCGAGTCGTGTGTGTGTGTGTGTGTGTGTGTGTGTGTGTGTGTGTGTGTGTGTGTGTGTGTGTGTGTGTGTGTGTGTGTGTGTGTGTGTGTGTGTGTGTGTGTGTGTGTGTGTGTGTGTGTGTGTGTGTGTGTGTGTGTGTGTGTGTGTGTGTGTGTGCAGTTCATGTCCATGAATTAAAGTGTTGTTGATGCTTGTCATAAAAAGCTGCAGGACATATTGTACAAGTGTGTCTGTCTCTCCTCCAGTGAATGAACAGGGATCTATTTTCATTGACTGAAACTAACAAGTTACAATCTTTTTAGTTTTGCTAATTTGAGCTTTGTTCATTTGTAATAATTATTGGCCCTCTTGTTGCAAATCATATGGGAAGATATAACATCTTCCGCCAGCATTCTTCAACCTCACATATACTTTGTGACCCTATGGTCCTCATCCTCAGGTTCATATATGTACAGTGATACAAGGTTACATTGATGTGTATGTAGTGCCCCCTCTACTGTGACATGTCTCCATGCTTTAATGTTCAAAAAGCTCTTTATTTTTCTCAAACTGCCTGTGCTGCAGCACCTCTTTTCACCCTCTGTCTGAAACCAGAGCCCCAGTCTGCTCTCATTGGTTAGCTGGCCGGCTCTGTTGTGATTGGTCAACCGCTTAGAGTTGTCCCTCTCCATTGTACGAGTAGCCTATCACGTACAATGTTTTGGAGCGTTAGCTAACAGAATTGTGAGTGTTACATAGTGATGTCAATATGGTAGGGTGTGTGGGAAAGAAACTCTGAGGGATCACAGGGATTTTAGCCTTTGCAGACCATTTACATGCACAAAAACCTATAACACACGACAGGAAAGGGAAAACCCCAATAAGCATAATAGGGCCTCTTTAAGTCATATGTGACTCCTCAGATATTTTCAGACAGGAACTGAAATGTTCCTGTCTGAAAATCAACAGCCTCTGTTGGCTGTTGATTGAGAATGTCACTGTTGCCCTTAAGGGGAAAACATACAAACTGATTCCAAGGTTATAAATAAATATAACACAAATGTATAAAAGACACACTTTATTCCAAGTATGCACTTACAAAACGTACAGTAAAACATCTCCAACACAAGCTTCTTAGAGCTTTTCCACAACAGTTCAGGTTTCTTCGCCTGGGTAACATTTATCTCAACATTAGTTTCTTGAATGTACAAAGTTCCAGTAACACGTCATCGAGGGACTCGTAACAAAGCTCTCAGTGTCTGTCGAGGCACGATCTGGAGGAGAGGACCCTCAAAGAGCCCCTGACTCTCCGCAGAGTTCATCCAGTGGTCCCATGTTATCAGTCCATACATATCAGACAGGAATGGTACAAAATAGGAGACCTGCTTCCAGCTTTTGAAATTAAAAAAATCTCTTGGCAGTCAGATACAAAACATTAGATGTCAGTCAAACGTACAGGTTGTTTGGATTCACAGTTCTGGAGTGGCAATGACCAAAATATACAGTCACCATTAGAAGCTATGATAAATACTGAAACTCTCCTCGAAACAAACACGGTCCTCCGTTATACCATGTTGTTGCTCTCCCCAATTTTATCCACCAGCTGGAAGAGAAAAACACAGGAGAGGTTTTTATGAGTTGCATTTTTTACAGATGTAACTGCATCAGACAAAAAAATCACTCTTTTAAAGGGATAGTTTGGATTGTTTCAAACAATACTATCTATCCATTAAAGTATATGGAGAAAAAACTTGGAAGATTTATATTCCAGCTACAACTATAATTTAATTAAAAGATTAGTCAATCAACAGCAAATCAATCAGAAACTATTCTAATAATCAATGTTTTAGCCAAACATTCTGGCGCCAGTTTCAAAATGTATGCTTTTTTGTGAGAAATAACAACATCCTTCTCCAGTGACATTACATTTTGATTGTCCCATGACTACTTGTAGCCGTTCTGTTAGTGACGACAGCCGATTAATACCGTTTTTTGCCAGGATTTAACTTTCAAATATAGTATGAAGTTGCAGCTTTTGATACGAATGAAGACTTTTCAGGCCTCTGGAGCAGGTTTGAAGTGTGCAATAATTTAAAGGGACATTCATTTCATGTTGTGATACTTACTCGACTGATCCCTGGTAAACTGAGCAAAGATCCGAGCACGGGTACTCGTCTGATGAAGCCCACCGCCACGGGGAAGAATCCTCTGTAACAAAAAGGGAGATGAAGATGAAGATAATTCTGATTCTGGATAACGATGACACTGATTTCTTTGTGTTTGAGCTGACCTGAATAAAAGGAAGAAACCGTAGATCTCCAGAACGACTCCAATAATCGGCCAGCCGATCAGGACCACCAGCACCCCCCCCCAGGAAGAAGCTGGTGGCTTTCACTTTGTGTTTCTGGAAGAAGAACCTGAACGTCCGCTCCAGGCCGATGACGAAGGAGAGGCCGGCCACAAACAGGATCTGAACCAGAAGAAGACACACGGTCAGAGCTGAGGGAGATGCTCGACTGTCATGCAGTGATGTTAAAGCATCATTTATCAACTCACATTTCCAATGGCGAGGAGAGCTTTATCAAAAAACAGCACCATCCCAAAGAAGAGGAAAAACACACCGAACCCCGTCAGCCCCATCCCAATTTCTGTAAAAGACAAAAATACATTTAAACAATTTATTGAGGTAAACCAAACTAGTATTTATATATCAAAAATAAATAAGGTATAATCAAATATTGTAAAGAGAAGGACATTTGAAGAAAGTAGATTAGTTGTTACTTCAGTAAATAAGTAGTAATACTGAAATGATAACACTTAAAATAGACACAAATTAAAGGATACAAATCAATGCAATTAACAATATAAATGTAACACTTGAAATTCAACTAAAACTACAAATATAAAGAGACATACATTAAATGATAAGAACAGTCTCCCAGTTTTAATAATACAAATGCTTCATGTACGTGCAGCTAGGTGACGTCATGACGCTCTCAGCCAATGGGGTTTGAGATGCTAACATCATCCATTCAGCTAACAAACCGGGTTTTTACACAGTCACAACAGAGACAGAGAACAGCGGGGAAACATGAACAGCTCTTACTCTGTGAATCCGTGAGGGAAATCATGTTGGCGGCGGCAGGAGAATTTATCAAACAACAAAATTCTCGTAACGATTAAACCTGCGGCTTTCTGCCGTTAGCACACACTGTACAACAGGAGGAGCGGGGTTACGCCACGTCGTCCGGATACACGCAGCACGTATTTCAACAAAGATCGTCTAATGAGAAGATGAACCAGAAACTTTGAAGCATCCAATATTTACTTTTTTTCATAATATTGTATTTTATATTTTTTTCTTTTTTCTTAAAGGTGCAGCTAGTTGTAATGACTTTGTATACTGAAGGGTAGATTGTGAATTTACTCCAGGTGTAATCAAAGTCGTTTAAGTGTTGAATATCATTTCAAAATAATTAATCAACATTTGCAAGTAACTTAAGATATTAAATACATGTAGTGGATTTACACTACATCTGAACGATTTACCTCTGAATTGTAGTTGGGTAAAATTTAAGTTAAGTCCAAGTACCTCTAAATTGTACTTTAGTACAGTACTTGAGTACATGTACTTAGTTACTTTACACCACTGTAGGAGGCTCACAGAACAGCAACATGTTACAACTAGTTTCTGTTACAAGACTGTTCCATTAATAATGAAAAATTAAATTACTCAAAGGGCAGCTCACACAAAACAAACCACCAAACATGACACTTTATAGTACATGGAATTACGTATAAGATTCAAGATTAAAAAGGCTTTATTGTGATATGCACAGTAGGTACAGTGTAGTTATAGGCAATGAACATCTTAAGTCCCAGGCTCCTCCAACAATGCAACATAAATGTATAAAACAACATTTTATTTTTAAACAATAGAAATGGCGCAAGAAGAAACAGAGTAAAAAAAGAGAATGTTTCAGATTGAACTGCAAGTAATGCAGGAGAAGTGAAGTATGGTAAAATAGACAAGCTCAAGTCCATCATTTTTCCATAGACACTGTCCAGTGATATTCCAGATAACTCCAGACAGTTTTTAACACCAAGAGATTCCAGGTGTTTCCTCCACTGCAGGGAAAGATGAGTCCTTCCATCCAGACAGTGTTTTATTTTTTCCAGACTCATACTCATCTGGGATCAATGTTTTCCACATGGAGATAGATGGAGGGTCCTCCCAAACCCACTTACCAGAAGATACAAATATATATTAAGACTGAAAACAATGTTTACCCAAGGACATCTTATAATACACAAAAAAAACTCTAAAAGGTTAAAGATGGCAAAACATGATGAAAACACAAGTAGGGCAGACATAAAAAGAGAAATTCTAATCAAACCAAAAAACGGATAAATTGTAAAATAGTGTATTGCAAGTTTTTATATTTTAAATTTAAGTTTCTTGGCTTTTGCAGCAGGGCTGGTTTTGTAATATAAGAGGTGTAGTGATATTATCCAGAGATTTGAGCGGAGTGAGACCTCCATTTTAAAGAGACAACTGATCTGCGCATGCGTTAGAATGTTTGTGTGCGTCACTGTTGCGCAGTCATTGCGCTGTTAAAGCAAAATGATACTCTTTCAATTCGTTATGTTTCACGTATTTTACCCATATTTACTCTTACTTTTGCTCCCTACACAGTATTTTTATTTATTTCGTAATGTTCCCTGAAATACAGACATTGCGTACCCTTTTCCCCCTAGTTGTGTCAGAAAGGAACTACAACTCCCATGAGCCTATGCAATAAGGAAGTTTCAATCTCAGACGTGTTCAGAGTTTGTGTTGAAGCAGAATATCTCTTGCAAGACACACAATCAGCTGTTTCTTGCAAATATGCACCGATCAGAAATCCGCTTCATTGAGTGACACCTTTTCCACAGAGCTCCTGTCTGCTCTCACCAACATGGGGACTGCTTTCGCGATTGTTCTGGTGTTTGTGGGATGTTGCTGTAACGTGGTGTCTCTGGAGCTGCTTGTAAGGTCAGTGACAAACTTAGACTGTGTATTAACTCCTGTGCACTTTACTAGAAAAAGGTTTCACAGCTGTGTTTGCTTTGAGTGTGTGTCTGAGTGTATCCAATGTGTAGCAACTGTAGAGTCATTTATTATCAATTTGTCAGAGAAAGGCTTCTCGTGTAAGTGCCACTAGGAGCTTATCTTGTACTTGTGTTTAACTTATTATAGATTAAGTGCTCTAAAGTGATTGGTGCTTTTAAGAATAAGATAAGAAATGACTTAATGTATCCCAAAGTTCAACATTTTGTGGCAACATCTCTTGATTATAAAGATAGTATAAATATTCTTTCTTTTAAGAACATATTTATTATATTTTTCATTAATAGAAATTGAACAAGAAATAGTAGAAGAACATGAAGCATATGGAAGTGAATGCCAGAGTTATTTGTATATTTTATTGAATCCTTATGACCTTCTGCCATAGAGGTACCCACTTTTTCTGGGGTGCGTAACACATGCAATTATGTCAATTATTGAGTCTGTGTTTTGCAATTTCATCCTTTAAAACTTAACATCTTGGATATAACACCTGGATATTCTCTGTTGTTGTGTCCTGCAGACAGTTTCCAGGATGTGGAAACATAGTCACCTTCGCTCAGTTCCTCTTCATCGCATTAGAAGGTTTCATCTTTGAAACAAAATTTGGAACAAAGAAACCAGCGATCCCTATCCGGTAATAACTCAACCAGGTGGTCTGAACGTCCTGCTGCAGGAAAATATGTAGAATGGACACTAAAACAAACCTGTTATCTCACATCTCTCTTCCCCAGCAACTATGTGATCATGGTGACCATGTTCTTCACCGTCAGTGTGATCAACAACTACGCTCTCAACTTCAACATCGCCATGCCGCTGCACATGATCTTCAGATCGGTAAGAGCTGCCTATTGTCTTCTTTTAACCTTTTATTATTGAGTTTCTTTAATATGACATTACTTCCATATATCACCTGAGTCTGATGTCTGTCTTGTTTCATTGCAGGGTTCGCTAATCGCTAACATGATCCTGGGAATAATCATCCTGAAGAAAAGGTACACCTTCCTGAAAACAATGATACTTCAGATATGATATAGATAAAGTCATGTCTTCAGGTTGAAAAGCACTCATTTCTGTCTCCCCTTCTTCTCCCCCTGCAGGTATACAGCAAGTAAATATCTGTCTATAGCTTTCATTTCAGCGGGTATCTTCATCTGCACCATCATGTCTGCCAAACAAGTGGTGAGTCCTCTGTTGCCTCTGTTTTTCTAAACTGCCTTTTTTTTAACAGTACAAGACGTCTTCTCTTTCAAAGTGCATGCAACATTGATCTGAAATGTTTCTGAGGCATTTTGTCATTTTGTTTCTGCAGAATGTAGCCACTGAGGGATCAGAAGAGCAAGGCTTTTACCCACTGATCCACTGGCTTATAGGTGAGTTGCACTTTCAATTGACAATTCAAAATGAAAATGAAAAGACCGCAACCATGTCATTACATTGTGAATCATTTAGTCAAGAAAATGACAAGAAAATGTGTACATTACCACAGGCCACAGACATATCTTAAATTACATATTTATTCCAAAACTTAAACATGTTTAATTTACATGCAAATAAAAGAGAGAAAGCAGCTAAGTTTAACAGCGTTTTTGTCATTTTGCTGATAAAACTACAAAAGAAATGTAACAAAATCATATTAATAAACCTTCTGTCGATTGACCTTATTGGAATGAGTGTGATGAAGCCAACCAAGGTCATAATTAGATTTAAAATGAAAAGGTACAATTAATAAAAATGAATAGACGGATTCAGATTTAACATCTCTCCCATTAACATGATCTCCTAAATTGATTTTATTATTTTGTTTTCTTCAGGTATCGCCATGTTGACCTTTGCTCTGCTGATGTCTGCGAGGATGGGCATTTTCCAGGAGACACTGTACAAGCAGTACGGAAAACACTCCAAGGAAGCCCTCTTCTATAATGTGAGTTTTATCCCTGCTCCGACATGATTGGGCTCTTTGGAAATATTCTCTCTGGGGAATCAATTATGGCTTCAACAGCTATTGATCTTTTTATTCCCATCTCTGTGTAGCACTGCCTGCCTCTGCCGGGCTTCCTGCTACTCTGCACCGACATCTACAACCACGCCGTCCACTTCAGTCACAGCAGTGAGTGTTATTAATAAATATCAATAAAGCCCTTTTGTATTGTATTGTATTGTATTATTATTATGTCAGGAGAGCATTGCATCTTTTCTCACAGATGTGAATGAACTTCTCTTTTCTCCTTCTCAGCTCCTACAGTTGTTCCTGTGGTCGGAGTGACGATGCCAATATTGTGGCTCTACCTCCTGATCAACGTCATCACACAGTATCCTGACAAACAAGTTTATATCACTACCTTCTATTTATTTATCCAATTTAAAAGTGATTACACTAATGACCGACCTCCAAAAGAGCCCCCAAATGTATTAAGAAAATAGGAAGAAACAGTATATATTTAAAAAAATACTTTTACTTTATCATTCATTTTGTTTTCTCTCTAATCCGTGCTTTTTTCTTGTAAAATATTGTATAGTTCTGGTGGGTTGCTAGTAGACACACTGTTTGTGTCATAGTTAGCGTTGGCTATCAAACATTTGTCAACCGCTGTTTGTTGGTGGTCTGATAGTTCGAGTATCCAAATTTCGGTAGTGAATTATTTCTCCAACACTGTAAATAAAGTATGCATATTCTGTAAAGTTAAAAAAAATATATATATAGGTTAAACTAATTCAATGGGTACAATAAGATGTAAGTTATTCTGAAATTAAGGAATAACTTTTAATATGCTATTAAAAGATCCTGAAAACGTATCCCTAGCACATTTTAGGTTAAGGATCATTTTTAAAAATAGGCTGGGTGTGCTACACTGGCAGAAACCCAATAACCTGATACGCTGTTCCCAACACTGATCACATCTCCTCTGAAACTCACGCATCATGTTTACACAGGTATCAAAAAATATTGCACAATTAGCTCATAGGTGAAAAGATAAGAAACCACTTTTTATTATTTTCTAAAATAACAAATCATTCTTGTTTTTATCAGCTTGAGTGTACAACATATTTAGTTTGTTTTTAACTATGTGAGGAAATCAACAAACTGTAAATACTTCACTAGAGACAAAACAAGATAGTTACACTGGCTGTCCAATACTTAAGCTGAATTGTAAATCGCATTTATTTAGTATTGTCTCATCCTCTTGTTACAGACTTTAACCAGTGTTTTTCAGGTATGTTTGCATCAGAGGTGTCTTCATCCTGACCACAGAGTGCGCCTCGCTGACCGTCACTCTGGTGGTGACCCTGAGGAAGTTCCTCAGCCTCATCATCTCCATCATGTACTTCCAGAACCCCTTCACCACGTGGCACTGGGTGGGCACGGCGGTCGTCTTCCTCGGCACGCTGCTGTACACCGAGGTGTTGAGCAGTGTGTGGGCGGCTCTGCGTGGACCAGGCGGCAAGGCCAAGAAGGCAGAGTGAAGAAGAGGAAGAAGAAGATGATGATAAGGGACTAATGGTCAGATAGAAACACAGCCAATGTGATGGACTTGGAAGTTGTTTTTGGTCAAAACTACCTGCAGCGATTTTATGCAGTTATGTCATTTTCTTAGACAGTAGTACACACACACACACACACACACACACACACACACACACACACACACACACACACACACACACACACACACACACACACACACACACACACACACACACACACACACACACACACACAGTTTAGACTAGAGGATAAGACTGGTGATACTTTATATGTTCATTATTATCAGCTAATCCCTAGGAGACTCAAATAGGAGAATTTTATTTCAATATATTTGGGCTTTAAACTATTGTTTTCTGATCTTTAATAGACCATAAGATTAATCAATAATTACAAGAATTGTTGCAGCCTTATTGTAGATTCCTGCACCCAAGTATCCAAATTACATTTTTAATTGAAGCTTTTAAAACTGGTCACATATTTTTCAAATGTTAAATCATTTCCCGGAACATAACTCGTCACTGAAGTTTTAGTGAACATAATTCAAACACGACTAAATTGTGAATTTGTTAAGGAGTATTTTTAGCTGTGACTCAATAAACAATAATCGAGGGAACATGTGATGTGTCTCAATTATGTGTTTTTAATAATTTCTGTGAAATAATGGCGCTCTAGAACAGACAGAGAAAGTTGTATTAAGCTTTGGCTACTGGGTCACTTTGGGTCACCGATTTTTTCCTAAATCGGATTATTGATAATAAAATATCACCAGCCCTATTCTTAAATATTAGTACCTCATTCGTTTTATCAGGTGCAAAATGATGATGCAACTTTCTTGTGTCTTTAAAAGTTTTTAATATTTATTTTCTCAATGTGACAGCTAATTTACTCCATATTAGCACTGATACCAACGTTTGTCAGTACAGTGAATGCAATAATGTGATGCTGTTGGATGTAAGACTATTCCTACATTAATGTTTAGGAGCAGCTGGAAACACTGATTGTATAGAGGGATAACTTATGTGGATCATAAGGATGCTGTAATCTTGTTTTCCTCATCTGTCAAACTGTCTCAGGTGTATTTCATCAGTTTTCCTCAACAGGAAACATCTTAAAATAAACCTTTACACTCCCTGCACACTCTCATTAAAATGACAACCTGCTACTAATATACAGAAGATACCAGAGTATCTGTTTTTTGAATTTTGATGTACTTTACATGAGTATTAATAACTGAACCTCCTTCATACTTCTGCTCGTCTACGTCTAAGTTGTCTGTACTCCTCTCACATAAAATATAATTGTTATGATGTATTTTAGATTAAGCAACCCAGCAGTAAAGATCCACGTTTTCCCCCTACAACATTAAAGTTATGCTTACATAAAATGTATCAATCACCATGATACAATGATATAATATACATAATTATGAAATGAGACATTTTGCATTAATAGCGCTTTAACTTTCTGTACTTTAGAAATATATTATGAAGCGTTATTTTTAACGTGTACCTTAAGTACTGCTTGAGTATTTCTACATGCTTACATTGCTACTTTTACGGAAATTATGAGTACTACCACTTCTTTAAAATAAACTTAAAGTAGAAAAAGTATGCAGAAAGCCCCATTTCAGAATAAAGTGTATCATATTTTTGGATTGTAATACATCATTTGACAGATCAATGCATGTATGATCTTAACCTTGCAGTTAGTAAAGGCGAAGACAATTGTACACACGTTAAATCCTGCTGCTGTGTATTGTAATAATAGGCTATATTATATATTATATTATACTTTACATCAATTATTTGAATCTGTCAAGTAAATAGCAATATAGTGGATACTTTACATGTAGCCTACAACATAGGCCTACAATATTTTCTTCTGAATTGTAGAAGAGTAGTCATGAAGTAGCATAAAATGTAAATTCTCAAGCCAAGTACAAGTAATTAAAAATGCACTTTCAGTACTTGTGTAAATGTCAGGCTACTTCAAAACACTGATAAATTGTTAGTTTTATAAGTATTGTTTGCTGGGACACAATGTTCCTTCATGTCTGACACGCTGTAAAGCAAACGGACCAATCAGGAGCCGCGTTGTTCAGCAATATCCAATAGCAGCAGCTCTTGTTGACGCTCGGAGTGGGAAGGGCAGATTGTTGCAGCTGTAGAGTTGATATCACTGAGAGCACATCCACCTTGTGGATTAAATAATATCATAAATACTAAGAGTAGCGAGTATCTGCTGCTGCTGGAGTGTGGATGGGGGGAAACAGCCCGAGTCACCTCCCAGGAGAGGAGGGTGGAGGAGTCACTTTTGTGAAGGGCATTCGGGTGAGTGAAAGCTCAGGGAGAATGCATGGGTCTGAAAGTGGGAGAAAGTATTCAAACAATTACTGCACACTGTTTCAATGCACAGACCCTCAATGCACAGGGCAGGAGTGTTAGGTTGTTTTTGCAAGTCTTGCTGATTTATACTTTTCTGATTTTGAGATATGTAGTATTTTTTTGTATTGATTGAAATGGACCTCATGTTTGTTGTCACTGCAGAAATGTAGGCTTTCACACACTGCTGTGGTGTTAAATATAGCAAGAAAATGGTGGGCTGTAACATGGACTACAAGGAAAATACAAATACTTGTACACCTGCTTGAATAATCTTATTAAGGAGATGATCTAATTTATTAAAAAATAAATCACGTTTTTTTTTAAATAAAACGTGTGTCACAAATATACAATTTAAAAGCCAATTCTAAATTCGTGTTTGAGTATTTAAACAAGCCCCAGAAGTTATTTTTAGGTAGTTATCAAACTGCGACCTTTGTTTATTGACCACTATCGGTGACCTCCTGCAACACCAAGGGAACTTTAAAACTCTAAGGACAGAGCAGCAAAGTAAACATTAAGCTGATACACACATAATTATGTATAACTAATCAACCACAAGGAGTGGAAGGTTAAGCAGGTCCAGATTATGTAATAAGTGTAGTGATTGTAAGAACGTTTTTACATTTTTTACAACTAAAGTTCTGTTCTTGACTAGACTACATACTGAAGCACTCCTAGTGAATTTCCTCTCTAGGGATCGATACGTTTTGACCTTATTTTTAGTATTTAGAGACTTTCTTTGTGATCATGGCCTTCAGATCTCAGATAGGTCTTAAACATTATTTAATTAAATAATGAATTTACTCTTAATCAAAAGAATACAGAAGTATTCATCAGACAGAAGTAAAGTTGCAAAGACATGATTTTCGGACACAATGACAGCTCCATTTCTTTTAATGTAGGCCGGTCACATCTCGCGCTACTAAAGCCAGATAAAGAAAAAGAGGTCAAAAGCACTTGACGAAAAACACTTAACTATAAGAAGAAATCCTTAACAAATCCATGTAATTTAAGTGTTTCTCTTGTTTCTCTCCAGCTGTCAGACAAAGTGATCCATCGGATGAAGGAGTCTAAGGTCGTCGCTCCTCCACCTTCACAGAAACCACGTCCTCCTCCACCTGAAACACAAACACCACCTCCCGTTGCCCCCCCCTCTGTCAAACACGTACTCCCTCTCCTGACACCGCCACTTCCGTTCACCCCACCCCAAACTCTTGAAGCCCCATCCCTTCCTCCATCAGTGGAACTGGCTCCTCCTGTAAAACTCGTACTTCCACCTCCTGTGAAGTTTCACTCCCTGCCAGAAGCTCCACCTCTAACTGACCCTGTTCTCTCCTCTCCACCTCCGCCTACTACACCTCCACAAGTAGAGGCACCTGTGGAGTGTCCTCCTCCACCCGCTGTAGTGGAGCCAGTAGTCCCAACTCCATTTGAATCCTTCATCCGACCTCATGTAGAGCCAGAAACCCTGTCTCCACCTCCAGTAGCAGAACCTGTTGCCATACCTCCACCTGTGGACTTGGCTCTTGCTCCACCTGAACCTTTAGCTTCCCCTCCGCCCTCTGAAACACCTGCTGCTGTAGCTCTGTCTGTTGAACCTCTTCATTCTGCTTTACTGTCTGCTCCACCAGAGGAAACAGTTCAGGCTCCACCCACTGTTGAATTAACCCCAATAACACCACCCTGTCCTGTTGAGGCTGCAGTCCCTCCTGCTGCAGCTTTTGATTTAACGCCTGCATGTGAAACGCTTCCACCTCCATCACCTCAAGAGCTGCTGGAAGCACCCACTCCTCTTTTTGAGTCAGTGGCAGCTCCATCTTCTCCACCAGAGTATGTGGCAGCACCATCTACTCTTTTAGAGTCCATTGCACCACCCTGTTCTCCACCAGAGCCAATGACAGCACCATCTACTCTTTTAGAGTCGCTAGCAGCTCCCTGTCCTCCACTAGAGCTTGTGGCAACACCATCTCCTGCCCCGGAGCCGGTGGCACCACCCACTCCTCTTTTAGAGCCGGTGGCACCACCCACTCCTCTTTTAGAGCCGGTGGCACCACCCACTCCTCTTTTAGAGCCGGTGGCAGCACCATCTACTCTCTTGGAGCTTTTGGCACCACCCACTCCTCTTTTAGAGCCGGTGGCAGCACCATCTACTCCCTTGGAGCTTTTGGCACCACCCACTCCTCTTTTAGAGCCGGTGGCAGCACCATCTACTCCCTTGGAGCTTTTGGCACCACCCGCTTTACCCTTAGAGTCTGTGGCAGCACCCTGTCTTTCACTAGAGCTTGTGGCACCACCATCTCCTGCCCCGGAGCCGGTGGCCCCACCCACCCCTATTTTAGAGCTGGTAACAGCACCACCTACTCCCACTGAGACGGTGGCACTGTCTGCCCCTCTTGTAGAGTCTGTTGCACCACCCGCTCCTCTCCCAGAGCCAGTGACAGCACCAGCGCCTTCCTTAGATTTGGTGGCAGCACCAGCTCCTCTTTTGGAATCTGAGGCGGCACCTTCTCCTCCCCCAGAGATTGTGAAAGCACCTTCTCCTCCCCCAGAGATTGTGGAAGCACCTTCTCCTCCCCCAGAGATTGTGGAAGCACCCTCTACTACTCCAGAGGAGGTGGAAGCACCCTCTCCTCTTTTAGAGTGTGTTGCACCACCCACTCCTCTACCAGAGCCAGTGGCAGCCCCTCTAGAGCTTGTCGCAGCGCCGTCTTCTCCCCTGGAGCCAGAAGCACCACCCTCTCCTCTTTCAGAGATTGTGGCAGCACCCTGTCCACCTTTAGAGTCGGTGATAACACAATCTCCTCCCTTAGAGTTGGTAGCAGCACCATCTCCTCCACAAGAGCTTGTGGCACCACCCTCTCCTCCACTGGAGCCGGAGGCTGCACCTTCTCCTCTTTTAGAGTTGGTTGCTGCACCCTCTTCTCCCCCCGAGACCCTGGCGGCACCTTCGCCTCCCCCAGAGCTCACTTTTGAAGAGCCCTCCCCTCCCTGTCACTGTGTGGAGTTGGCTCTTATACCCTCTGATGCACCTGTAAGCCATTCCTTCGTCGAGTCTCTGGCACCACCTCCACCTCCACCTGCTCCTGCTCCACCTACTGAGGAGCCCACCCTGACGCTGTTTCTGCCCCCTGCCGTTGAGGCTGAAGTTCCTGCTGTAGCCTCAGCAGCTCCACCTGCAGCAGGTGAGCTGATCGCCAAGGAAAAGATTGTAGCAAGATATTTAAATACAAATATAATTTTTTTTTAAAGCTTTTTATTAATGATTGAATGTGTTTACAGCCCCACCTGCTCCTCCTGAGATGGTGGAGGAGAACCTCAGGCAGAAGATCAAAGAGGAGATGCAGATGAGTCTGGAGGAGGAGATCTACCAGAGGAGGCAGGAGCTGCAGCGACAGTAAGGAATCCTGTTTCTGTGACCTGTCCTCTTATGTGGGAAGACTTTTGGGTCCTGTTGTTGTGTGATTAGATTAACTGTATATATGTTGTTTTCCACTTTAATTGAAATAAGATGTCTGATTGATATGTAGCAGTGAGCCATTGAATTGAATATTGGTTTAATTCATCGGTTAAAAGTGTTACATTACATTTCATTTAGCTGACGCTTTTATCCAAAGCGACTTACAATTACAGGGACATTCTCCCTGGAGTAACTAAGGGCTAAGTGCCTTACTCAAGGGCACACTAGTGGTGGTATTCCTGGCGGGATTTGAACTCACAACCTTTCAATCTTCAGCCCACCTCACTATCCATTAGACCACCACTATTACAAATTCACAAACTCTCAACAGAATGAAAGGTCAGAGTGGAAAAAAGTTTGTGTGTGTGTAGGCCTGTAATCAATGGTTATTTTCATTATTAGTTGATTGGCCAATTACTTTTGTAGCTCGAATAATCGGTTTGTGGATGAAATGTCGAATGTTGAAAAATGCACATCATAATTTCCACGATTTCCATCTATGGCCAAAACCGAAAGATACTCAGTGAAGAGTGATACTAAGCAGTAAATGCTCACATTTGAGAAGCTGAAACCAGCTAAAGATTGAACATTTTTGCTTGAAACATTGCATCAAAATTGCAGTTGATGATATTTCTTTCTATCAACTTATTACCTGTTCAATCGCTTTAAACAAATGTGTGAAGGATGAACCAGTGCAAGTAGAACATGTGAACTGTGTGCAGGCTGGAGGAGATAAGGGCTCAGGCTCATGCAGAGGCCCTGTCAGCCGCTCTGACTCAGGTGGAGAAGCAGGTGATGAATACGCTGCAGGCGGAGAAGGCGGCGTACGTGGAGACCCTGACGGAGGCCATCGCGAAGGAGCGAATAAAGACTGGCGATGAGAGGCTGATGGTGCAGCTTTATGTAAGCACACAAACAACACGATCTGTACATCGATAGGATCTCTCGTGACAAAGTGAAAACCCTTCCTCCTCTTACTGTGAATCTCTTTCTTTCTTGCCCTCTTGTGTTGTTTCAGCGGATGGAGGTGAAGGTAAGACGGGAGATCATTTATACGTGCATGACTCACTTTTTCACTTTCATTCTACTCTAATCACACTGAAGCTGTTTATGCTTTGCTGCCCTTCATTTCTTTGATGATGAGATAAGAAAACAAAGTGATATCACATATTGGAATTCTGTTTACTGTCCACAATATATGAAATCATGAACATGTCATTGTGGCGCAAAGATTGATCTATTAACACATTTAAACTCACAGGCTCATCAGCTGGAGGAGCGGGAGAAAGAGTTGAGGAAACGAGACGCTCTCTACAGGGAACACGTCACAAAACTTGAAAAAAAGGTGAACACAATGTCGAGAATCGCCTGAATCTGCAGCTCTTATTGTAGCTTCATAATGAGTATTTGCTCATTGTTTAGCTCTCCACAAATGTACTGTTTAGATTCCAGTTTAGCACTCTCATTGTGTCGTTTACAGCAGCAGCATGCAGGCATTGTCAGAGAACAAGCTCTTTATATTTTAAGTGTTGTAATATTTTACCTTTATGTTCATTCTGTGAGTTTCTTTTCCTGTTTGACAGTGCACTGAGTTTTATAAAGTGACGGCTGAGAGCTTCCAGAAGGGCAAAGAAGACACTCACAACCGTTTTGCGTAAGTTTGGAATCATTTGCATGAATCCAAAAATGATGTCGAAATGTGCCTGTCTTAATAATCTGGTTTTAAAGGGGACCTAGTATGCTCATTTGCAGGTTCATATTGTATTTAGTGCCTCTACTGTGACATGTTTACATGCTTTAATGTTCAAAAAGGTATTTATTTTTCTCATACTGCCTGTTCTGCAGCACCTCTTTTCACCCTCTGTCTGAAACCAGAGCCCAGTCCGCAACATAGTGATGTCACTATGTTTTAGAAGTAAACAAAGGAGTCCAATAGAGGTGTTCCAGGCAGAGGAAGGGAGTGTGTGGGAGAGACACTCCCTCTGGAGGGAACTTTGATTTTAGCGTATATATAAGATATTTCTCTACAGGGTTCTTACGGTCATTAAAAACCTGGAAAAGTCATGGAAATTCAAAATGCTAATTCCAGGCCCTGAAGTTTTGGAAAAGTCATGGAAATGTAACTAAAGTTGCATCAAATATAATTTATATTTTATCTAATCGCCGTAAATAGTAATACTATAATGATAATAAATACTGTATCGTATAGTAATGACACGTCAAATGGCATTTAACTGACGAGGTATTTTGCTGGTGAGAGATTTGAGTTGCTTTAGCGTGTAGAAGCTAGTAAGCCTACTATTTGATTTGTTTTAGATAGGCACAACATGTTTCATATGCAGACCTTATTTTCATGTTCCATGTAAAAATAAACCATTTTCAGTGGTACCGCTGAGAGTAATTTTTTTGGTCATGGAAAATTAGGTAACAGTCATGGAGAAGTCATTGAAAATCATTGGTGAAAAAGTGTATGAACCCTGTCTCTACTTTGCATGTTTCAGAAACCATTATTCTTTATATTTACATGTGTCTCACAGGCGTGTTGATATCCAGCCAGTGTGCAGTGACCTGCAGGGTCAGATTCTGAAATGCTACAGGGAGAACACTGGAAAGACTCTGTCCTGCTCCAGTATCGCCTCGGCCTACATGCAGTGTGTGGACAATGCCAAGAAGGTATGACTCCAATATATATATATATATATAAAAATCTACCACCGTCACTCTTTGATACATGTCAAAGTGATTTATTGTTGGTAACATTTTCACCCCTCCATCTACAGAATAAACTGAGCACAGGAGGGTAATGTGACTTGATGAAGACATCTGACAGATGTAAGAAAACAAAAGAAACTTGATGAAGATAATTCAACAAATGAACGATTTACTGGAAGCACAGGAGTCACAGGAGAATCAACTCCAGCCTTTACACTAGTCTGGAACAAGTGCCAGTCGTTTGAAGATCATCTGAAAGCCTGTTGTGCCACAGCAGTAGCAAATAGATCAAACCTGGTGCTGAAAATAAGGCAAATCACAACAAAGGAGCAAACGATGAAAACTTTAGAAGGTATTTGTATAAGATATAAGGAGTGCTGTTGATCATCATGTATGTGTGCCTTGAAGTTAGGAAAGCTATTATCAGATTGCAGATGCATGAAGGAATTGTTCAATGAGCCGAGTGTGAAGTGACACACACCTATAAGTGTTTGAGGTTATTGTACTGTACATACATTATTTCACGGGTTATTTCTGGTGCATGCACAAAGATATTAAAGACATCTCAATAAACTTTGTTGTGGAATCACAAAACGACTTCTGTTTTTGTTTTGCAGTTTTAGACAATATATGGTACTATACCCTCTAGTGGATGAATCATGTCCTCATCTAAAGTTGAATATATTTTTTACATTTTGATGTCACATGAATATTTCTGAAAACATTCACTTGCAGGGATATTTAAATAAATATATTTTTATATAACATAACATGCAATATTAATTCTTAGGGTATAAAGCCATTTTAGGTAAGCTTCCACTGTACATATGTGCCAGATTTGCTCCAGTTAGTGACTCTTACAGTACAACCTCAGAACCAGTGCCTGGATACGGTTCCAGCTGGGGTCCTGCTGTGCGGACTAAGGCTGGAAAAAGGAGTCTTTTTTTATTATGCTCCTTGGTCTTGGAATGACCTTCAATCAAGCCTCAAACTGATGGCACTTGTCCCAATAGCCTGTTTTCAATTGAAGTTGTCTGAGGTCCTTACCACCAGCTGCTCTTGCAGTAACAAGTATAGTGTACCCAAATGTGCACAATGTAGTGACTGCTTTTAGTCGTCCTTGTTTACTTAGTTGTGTTCTCTGTATTTTACATGTCTGTGTTGTGTGTAAGAACGTGTAACGTTGCTGCCTTCTTGGCCAGGTCAGCATTGTAAATGAGATTTTATCTCAATGCTTTTATCTGGTTAAATAAATAAAAAATGTTACTTATAAAAGTAACAGTAACCTGTTTATTTTGTTATGTTTATAGCATTTCACTGTTTTATTTGCACTTTGTATAAACTGTCAAATAACAAATCAACTGTTCAAACCTTTCAGATGACACAGCTCACTGAGGTTGGTCTGGTTTATTGCAGTTGTTATACACACACAAAAAAACATTTGTTTAAATGATGGTCCCATTGAGATCATAGATCTCTTTTTCAAGGGAGACCTGCAGGCAATGCAATGCACAATGATAAAATGAGCCAAAAAAGAATACCTTACTACTAATCAAACCAACCAACAAATTCAACGTGAGATCTGTACAAGTCTATAATGCTCTATTTTAAAATTACTGACCTGAAACAAATCATTGAAATAAAATGAAAAATGCTTTTAGCAATGTACAATGTACACCAGGGCTACCGCTGATGACTTACTGCGAACAAATATATGGAGACAATAAGTCGTGTACTGTATACAATTAATAGTAAAGAATTTGGGACACTGTGTCTGGCTCACTTGCTCTCAACATACTATTTTTGATTTGTTTTTGTTGCTCTTAAATATAACTCTTACACTCAACATCAGACAAGACACTGATAACACCAGTAGAGGTCCCTCCACCTTCAGACTGCTACTCAAAACATTTCCTTATCCATCCGTTATTGATTAAAGGAAGGATGGCATTCCCTTTTGTTAGTGTCACTTATTAACCATTCTTCAAACAACATGTTGGGTTCATTGACTGTAATTTTACCTGGTTAACATATGCCAGGTTTAGAGAGTTGTTTTAGACAGTTAATATTACTCTATTTTTGTGGTAAAACTAAAGCAATATTAATCTTCAATGTTGAGGGATTCTAAATTAAAGGCTAACTGATTTTGATACACTGTATAATCCCATGTGGTGACACCATTTGCTTCTGATTATAGATGAGCAGAAGCATAGGACAGGATAACAATGGATTTATGTGCAACTGTATTAAAGGGAGGTAGGCTACATTTTAAAGTGGTTTAGTTGCATTTCTTATTAGATCTCGAGTCTTTCTGCTCCTAATTTTGGTGAAACCACAGTGCTGCTGAATCGAGGACTTACGTGCCTGTTAACATGTGTGTGTTCGTCTCATCTAATTTTAGTTACACAATGTGCTGGTTGATTTCAGGAGGAAGTGAGCGTCTACATGCATGTGTGGCTGAAAGAAGTCGCTCACATTCACAGAGATGGTGAATAAAAACTTTTTTGCAATTTAGAGATTATATAAAAGGATCTGCTCTATGCTACATGAGCTTGTGTGATGTGAGGAAGTTCTACAGCCATAAAACTATCTAGAAATAAATGGTTGTTAAGCCAAAGATAAGGTCGCTTCTCTTGGTTTCTTACATTTTGGAAGTACTTGCATGTATTTTACCCTTCTTATTTTCAGTCTTACTGCATTAGTGAACTTTGCTTTGAACTCTGAATTTGATTTGTCAAAACATATTAAAGCTTATTTATTTATTTAATGAGATATTGTTACAACTTCCCTTCATGTTGAAGCCTAAAAGGACTTCCACAAGCAGACATTAAAGTGTTTGTTTACCCTTGCAGCTTACATCCTCATCTACTGGCTGTACAAGAGAAGCCATGAAAGTAAAACCAAGGAGCAGCTGTGCTCTGCAGACCAGATCTGACATGCATTTCTTTCCCACAGAAGAAGCAGCGGCGACAGGCACCAGTGTATCTGTGGCTTTTTGTGTTTATGCACAAGAGTGGTGTGTGTACTAAACATTATGTAATTGCATTTGAGTACACTCATGCAATTTGACAAAGCACTACTCTAGAAGCATCATGTTTTGTGTGTGTACCATCTGTTTTTACTATCAAATGAAGTACAAACATCCAGAGCAATAACATGCAAATGTGAGAAAATGCTCCTCTGGAAAAACTGGCAGAACCACACAGTTTGTTTTTAGTGGTTCTGCCAGTTTTTTTCACTTCACAGGAGTCATTGATTGATCATGTTTGACGTATTGTTAATGCAAACATGAACAGTTTTAAACCTGAACAGTATGACTGCTGATTCACTGGCAAAGGTCATTTAAAGCTGCTGTGACTTTAATAAATATATTTAGCGACACTAGTGTTTGGACATGAATCTCTCAACAACTATTAAATGGATTGCCATCACATTTTGTAAATATAAGATGGTAAATATGACAGCTAAACATGCATTGTCATTGTAAGCATACTAGCATACTGCTGAGGTTAGCATAGCTCATATGCAGCCTTGACTAGCTGCTTTGCCATAGCCTCTTTGTCTTTACTATTCTCGCTCACTCGCTGGTATAATTTTATATTTCCTTTAGGAGTTTGTGAAGCGCAAAACGAAACTACAAGAGATTTCATTAAGAAAATCCTGTAGTCATGGGTGAAAACAGGACTCCAAAAAATGCTAATGTGTCTCTGTGTCTGCGGATGTGTAATTAGGCAACAGTTTGCGAAAAACGTTTACTTTACTTATATGTCAAAGTTGTGCTTACAGTTTGGTCTTGCTGCCCACAAGTGGCCAAAAATAATCACATAAAGCAGTTTCAACAATAACTAAAATAGTGATGTTCTCTGTGTCCTTGTTCAGGGGTCGTCGTTCCCACTTGGGGCTCTGACTGCCATCTCTCTTCACTGCTCGATATTTCCAGGTCCATTTTCAAGGTGCAGATCACAGACATGATCATCTGACCCTCCAAACTGTAGTCAGACACTCTCCATTTGCTCTTACTGTCTGCTGTCTCTGGTGAGTGAACCAAACAGGTGACTCTAACCAACTCCCTCCCCTCAAACTGTATCTTTTTAAAGTGATTCTTCGTGTTAGCCAGCGTCGGTATGTCGATCTGATGAGGGTGGATTTGGGTCAAAAGCAGCGTCATCCTTTTGCTTTCTTCTTCAGCTTGTGCCGATGAGAGTGGGATTATTAAAGTTGTGCTGAACTGGCACACACATACCCTTTCCTTGCACCACATTTGGTTAAAACTCAATTCATCAGTTTTGGGCCCACACTGGAAAGACGGTAAGCAAAGAGCCAACGCTGTTATCTGGCCTTGAGTCAGGGCAGATGGTTCGAGGTTTGACACTTCCATCTTAATGATCCTTCGCTTTGGCCTCACCGAACCTGTTGCCAAAACATAGAAAATCAACTTGCCTTGTATTAATGACGTAACATTACATTTCATTTAGCTGATGCGGTAAACCATGGTGATGCAAACTCAGAATAATAGTTAGCCAAAACCATTGTAAGTGGTGGTGCATTGGCTTCAAATGGGCTAAACCTTGTAAGGGCTGGAAATATAACAAATGTTTTTGTTGGGTCTAAAGGTCGAGACGAAGTGAAGACTTACAGCTCTCCTCATTTCAATGGGGAGCTCGTTCCACACCTTTAGAGCCAGAGTAGCTAACAGGTGTATTTTTGTTGAGCGGTACCTGAATAGTGATCTAATTAGCTGATGCCAATACGTCTTAAAGTGACAATCTTTTTCAAATAATGCTTCACCCAGAGAGTTGGGATTCTATGTGGATAACATACCTGCAGATTCATCCATGTTGTTGGCTGACCTGTAAAAAATGGTCAAAAGTTTTCTTTCGTCCTGTTCAGATGTAAAATGTTCACATAAATCTTCCATTTTACTTAGTTTAAAGAGATCTGAAGAGACCTTTCTTTGCATCTGAGTGAGCACAGTTTTTTGAATCAAAACAATGTTAACATTCTGAATTCTCACAGTCGTTGCTACAATAATAAAATATAGGCCTGATAGTTCTGGCCTCACTGTGTCCGTGTAACTTAGATTTTAATGGAACAATTGTGGATGTAACATTTGAAGTGATAGTGATTAAAATAAGAAAAATATACTATATGTTTTGAGCAAATCTCAGGGGCAAAACAATGATGACACTTGATATGTCTGCCTTTGAAATGCAAGCAGTCTGATATTAGCGCTTCTGCGTTATCTCTCAGCCCATCATGCAGGTAGAAAATGTAGCTTTTAAATATCTATGTAGATTAATGTCTTTGGTTTAGAAGGTGAGGGAATGAATCTTAGCTGGTTAAATGTATTCAAAAGGAAAACATATCAAGTAAATGAGGCCTGTTGGTTCCACAGAGAAAAGCCCATTACTGTTATTGTCACAAGGAGTTTGTATTCTCCTTGTTGTTTCCTGGCATGTCTCCTTTCTGCTCTTTTCCCTCAGGCCATGTACCCTCCCTCACACTACCCAGGTCTGCCATCCTCACACCATCCAGCAGATGCCCTCAGACTCACCTCCCACCTACACACCTGCTATCATTTCCTTCATCCGCTCTGCCTGGCCTTCCCCTCCTACCTCC